TTCCTTCCTTCCTTCCTTCCTTCCTTCCTTCCTTCCTTCCTTCCTTCCTTTCTTCTTTCTTTCTTTCGAGACAAGGTCTGTAGGTCGAGCTGGCCTGGAACTTACTTCTGACCAGGCTGGCCAGAAGCGCATAGAGATCCACCTGCCTCTGCCTCCTGAATGCTGGGATTAAAGGCGTGTGCAGCATGCCTGGCATTGATTTTGTTTTGTTCTGAGGTTTTCATTGTGTGTTATTTTTTGTTTTGTTTTGTTTGAAAAAGGTCTTGCTGTGTTGCTCACGTTAGCCTAAAATTCTTAGGAGACATCATTCTCCTGCATCAGCCTTCCCAGGTGCTAGTGTTGTACAAAATCATGACCCACCCACTCAGTGTTTCTTTTTCCTTTCCTTCCCTTCATTTCTTCTTTTTCTTTCTTCCTTCCTACCTTTTTTTTTTTTTTTTTTTTTTTTTTTAGAGACATATATAGAGAGCCTCTATATAGATGTGGCTGTCTTGGACTCATAGACCAGGCTGGTCTTGAACTCATAGAGCCTTGCCTGTCCCCTTAAGTGCTAGGATTAAAGGTGTATGGCACCACTCCCGGCTCATATTTTTCAAAGATCAGAAGTTAACACACTTTTCCTGTCTAAAACTAAAATTAAACCTGTTATAGTTTATGGATGGTCTGACACTGTAGCAGTGGTTTGTGACCTTACTGCCCTCTCCCCAGGTACAATTAGACTTCGTTCAGAGGCTGTGAAGTCAGTGGAAATGTTGAATTTGTTTAAGCAAAAGTCCTGAGCCTCGTGGATAGTTCAACTTTCACAGTTAACGTTGGTGAGCACTTAGCTGCTGGAATGTCCCCTGTTTTACCCTGCTGCCATTGGTTGTTGGTAGTAAGAAATGATAGCAAGACATTCTTGTAGAATGAAACATTATCCAAAACTGTTCAAAAGATATGTATGCACACACATTCATACCAATATGGGATAAGAATTAACTATAGTAAGTGGGTGGGTGGGTGGGTGGGTGGGGCACTGTTTAAAACATGGAGTATAACATACTCCATTTTAAATGAACAAAAAGAGAAAAGGCTGTGAACATGGATACATGCTTGTGTGTATATGTTACACTTTCTGGAACACAAGAAAAAGTGTCAGAGAAAGTCGCTTCAGCTAGGCATGGATTGCACCTCTATTTCCCAGCACTCAGGGTTACAAGAATTTGAGGCCAGCCTGGGAAACACAAGACTCTACCTTAACAACAAAGGGAAAATTAAATGAAACAAACAAACACACACAAAATAGCAACAAAAACTGCTGCCTCAGATTTGTAATTCTAGCTACTCAGGAAGTTGAGGCAGGAGGATTGCATGTCTAAGCCTCCCTGGGCTACAGAGAATATTCAAGGCAAATCTGGGAAATTTACTGGGAAAAATATAAAACTGCTGCAAACATAGTTCAGTATGTAGTAAAGTCAAGGGTTAGTATATCATATCTAAGAAGAGAAAAAAAATCTTGAGTGAGAATAAAAATTAATTTGCAGTGTGTAATCTTTGTTTTCCTTTATTAAAAAAAATTACATTAAGCAGTTAGATAAGTTGGCTCTTAATATAGGTTGCACCTTAGAAACACCTAAAGAATCTTCACAGTTCTTGGCCCCATACCATAGGATTCTAATTTAGTAGCAGAATGTATGTGAGCATCCATATTTCCAAAGGAGAACCAGGTATTCTCAGTTGCAGTCAATGCTGTACCTACTGAGACAGTCTACGGGCATGTTAGTAGACAGTACAAGAATCTCATGTTCTATTAATTTGAATTTTAACTTGGTAATTTGTTTAATTCACATTATTATTACATGACTCTAAAGTTACCCAATCAAAGGTATTCATTCCTAAATGCAATTATATGACATTTATAAGATTAACCTGTGACTAAAGCCCAGAGTGGTAGAACATGGTTCTAGAATAATATGAATGTGAGATGATCTGCTTGATGACGATTTACCATTAGAAAAAGCATTTCACTATTAATTTGGAACCACATTTTAAGATGCTAACTAGCCGGGCGGTGGTGGTGCACGCCTTTAATCCCAGCACTCGGGAGGCAGAGCCAGGCAGATCTCTGTGAGTTCGAGGCCAACCTGGGATAAAGAGTGAGTTCCAGGCAGGCACCAAAACTACACAGAGAAACCCTGTCTTGAAAAACCAAAAGATGCTAACTAATTATTATTATTATAAAAAAAACAAAACCAAAAACAAAACAACCTTCTTGCTAGATGGCTTAGGATGAACAGGGCCAATTAACATTTAGAATTGTGTCTGTGTTTCTTTGTAGCTGGTGTAAGCTCTGATTACAGTCTTGAAGAGATAGACGAAAAGGAAGAGCTGGGCGAGTCATCTAAAGATCAGGCAGAAGGCAGGTCTGTGAAGTCACCTGACCTCCCTTCGGTATTGATGGAGAATGATCCTGACTCAGCCCTCGGCCTCAGTGATGGAGAGGCCTCTCCAAGCTCCAAGGGAAAAAGCCAAGAAGGCAGAAACACAGAGGGACAGTAAGTAGTAGTTTCTAGGCCATAAGTGGTGGTGGTGGTTTGTTTGGTTAATGCTGTTGTTTTTAGAGAAAACCAATACTGTAAACTTAGCTGTAGTCGGCCATTTTGCTTAGATCCTAACTCTCATACTGTCCTTGTAAAATGGTTATTAATAAAGTGGCAAGCTACATATAATTGTGTTCAAATGAAGCCTAGTTCAAGAGTTGTAGCATCCTGATGTCAGATAGCCATCAAATACAGTTTATTTATGTGACTCAAAAATAAAAGTTTCCGTTTGTTCATACATTTTTGTCTATTATCTGTTTGACCCAAATAAATCATTGAGTTTTCACTTCGTAACAAATGCATCTGAGGATTTTCACTACCTGGACTGTGAAAATGCTCTGGAAATTGGAAGTAAATTAAGCCACCAGCATTGTTTACAGTCAAGTCTGAGGTGGAAGCAGCACTGTCCATCTGATGCAGGAATTGTTAACTCCTCTAGTCTACTAATACTATGTTTGGAATGCAATACTGTGACTAAAGATGAAACCAAACAAGCAAAATAAGCTTTCTTCATTAGAGGCTTACCTAATTTGCATGGGATTGTCTCCAAATTAAACTCTTTTGTCACCAGAAAAAGAAAATCTGTGAGGTCAATTCACATCCTGATTTCTGCAGTTGACTTTGCCAGATGCGAGACTGAAACATTCCATTTTGTTTCCTTTTCTCATTAAGAGAAAAATAGCTCCTAACAACCAAGTACGGACATTCATTTGGAAGAGTGTCCATTTTACCAAGCCTCTTACATCTTCCTTTGCAGTAGGACAAGTATACTGAAGCTAATGTTTCATAGCAGCATTTCCTGTTATATTTTAGTTTGCTATTAATGTTTTAATATTTGGCAGGAAAGGATAATTATTTCAGTCCATCTGTCTTTGAAAAAATGTATTGCCTGCTTTTTTTTTTTCATGGTGTATTTGAACAACCTCCGCACATCACATACAATGTCATGTCTTCCAGAGGGCCACATCATCCTGTTGTGTGTGACATAAGCAGTGAAGACACAGTATCCAACAGTCTAAGGGACTTGGAGACATCGAGCCCAAACCAAGAGAGCGGTGAGTGTTACAGACACGAATGGCGAACACTGTCATAGACTGTGACGAACCAAGGGCTATTCTTAAAACATACAGAATCAGTTCTTTTGTGCATTGACTCATTTAATATCTGTCTCATTTGTGAGTATTATAGGAACATTGCTCTTAGTGTCCTATCACTGAAGGGTAAGCCATGAAGATACTCTCTCACAATTAGTCAGTGGTGGACCTAGGATTTGAACATGGACAGTATGGTTCCGCAGTGGGCTCTTAGCTGTCCTGGCTGTGCCTCGTGGTGGTGTTCCACCCTTTGATGCTGTCTGACTTAAACCTCACGTCTTCAGGTTGTGTCCTCTGTACATCTATCTGTGACCCGAGTTCCTCTCAGTTCCCTAGTGCATGCTTTTACTTCATACTCAAATTGCCACACTTTGGATGAAACTTGCCTTCTTGATTTTCAAGCCACATAATTGTGCAATATCACTGGCCACCATTTCCCCATTCTTACACTCAAATTAAGGCAGCTTCTTATTTTGCTCATGATGTAATTGATTTGCTTCTGCCAACTGGCGTAGGGTCGTGCTGTCCTTGTATAGCACACTGTTTCCATCTACTTCGGCCATTCAGTTCCTGTTCACACCCTTCTTCTCTGTTAACTTTCTTATTTGATGACTGCAAGCCACGTGCTGCAGAATTCCTGACTTCCCAGCCAAGTCACACAGTGTTGGATCAGGGAACCGAATCTATGACTTCGTGAAACCTGTATAGCTCATTACAAAATACCAAGGCACACTTCACATATCTACATAGGATTGAACTTCAAAACAGAATAATGCACAGGAGAGAATTCAAGGAACATGTGATAACACATTTTAAGGGAATGAGAAGGAAGGCTTATGAATGTTTATGGTCCAATCTATGTTAAGTGAAACAATTTTTTTTTTTTTTTTTGGTTTTTCGAGACAGGGTTTCTCTGTGTAGCTTTGCACCTTTCCTGGAACTCACTTGGTAGCCCAGGCTGGCCTCGAACTCACAGAGATCCACCTGGCTCTGCCTCCCGAGTGCTGGGATTAAAGGTGTGCGCCACCACCACCTGGCGAAACATTTTTAATGGTCATAGAAAAAAAACACAGGGCCATAGAATTCTTATTTGGAAGGAAATGGATAGTTCTAGTGTCGTTGTTGTTATTAGGAAATCGATAATTCCAATATTGTTGATGCTGGTGCTGATGATGGTAGTTTTTTGTATGTGTGTATGTGTGTGTTTACCCTGTATATAGTACAGAATTTTATAGCTAATGTGAATTATTTACATCTGATTCATTTTTTTCCATTCTCGAGAGTACTTTTCTCTGGTACTCTATTAAAATGTTCTAAAACTCTTCTTGGTTCTGATTTTTGCTGCATACACTATTGTGGCAATAGTGTTGTTATTGAAAATCATGAATTTTATAACTACTTTCGTTTGGGAGTCAATTTACTTATTTACTTTGCAGTGCTAGGATTTGTATACAGTGCTTTCAACACAGAGGGTTGGTATCTATCACACAGGTAGGTCCCAGTCTTCAGAGCTCTTCCTTAAACTTGGCAGCTGACATATGGCTGTAATGTCAGTACTCAGAAGGCTGAGACAAACAGTCTGGTTAAATAGTGAAGCTATCTAAAAATCAATCAGTTACTTCCTGTTTTTAAAATTTGATAGTCACATCAGTAAAATTTTGACATCAGGTTAGTGCTGGGTTAGTTGCAAGTATATCTCAGTAATATTTTCTGTCATCTACATGTACTTTGTAGTAGCCTTGCTCAATTTATAGGTAATTTTAAAAATTAGTTTCTATTATCCATAAGGTATTTTATTAAAATTTTCTTTTCATTGTATACAGTTATCTAAACCACCATTTTGTCCCATTGTAGAAATCAGTGTTAGTTTCGAATAGAGGGAGGAGAAGAAGGGTAATTCAGTAGTTACTTTCTCCCATATTGGCATTCCTTGGGAAATGTTGCAGCCATTCATAGACAGTCGGTGACGTCATTAGATATGAATGGGGGTGGGCAGCTGATGAATTCAGTGGTGGGTCTAGGCTGTCTTCTTGACCGTCTTTGGGAATAATTGTGACATGTTGATAAGAAATAGAAAGTGATTAATAAGTCAACTCACTGAAAATACAGCGCCTGAAATTCAGAGTTTTGACACCAGTAAATTAGAGTTGCTTATTGGAGATCTGTACAAATAGTTTTACACTTGATTATTTTCCATTAGAAACAGCCTATACTATATTCTGTGTCCCATGACTTGCCTTTGTATAGTTAAAAAGCTGAAAATGGTATGTAGCACTCAAGTCAACCAGTTATAGATTGGGTGACACACTCTGAAAAATTGAATTCTCTTCCATTTTAACATATATTCTTGATGGTATTTCTTTCTCTCAATAGTTGAAAATGAAATTGCCGTCTGTGCCACAAACACAGATTATGTGAAAGACAGACTAGGGAAAACAGAAAACGCCATAGAAACCCCAGAGAAAGCCGTGGACCTGCAAGCTGATGGATTGTCAGGCTTTGCTGCATGTAGAACGGATCATGATAAAAGTTCTAGGGAAAACCATCTAACAGCACCATCAGGACCAGATCAAAAACTGAATCAGCCAAGTGTAGAAAAGACAAAAATGCAAGACGCAGCAATTCAGGCCACTCCTGCCTGCAGCAGTATTGATGGGCATCATGAAGACCGTAATTCATCTGACCTCAGGGTTGATGAGAGTGTGCAGACTTTAAACAGCAGCAGATCAACTCAGCACTCCTCCTCAAGTCTCCAAGATTCTGTAAATGCCTCAAAAGCATTCAGGAGTCAGGGCACCCCAACACACGTGCAAGATAGACTCCCCATGAAAGATGCGGCTTGTGCATATGGGAACGATGACCCTTTGTCTCCTGTAGACGGAAGTGATAAGAATCCAGCTGCTTCTTACCTAAAGAATTTTCCACTTTATAAACAGGACTACAATCCCAAGCCAAAACCTTCAAATGAAATTACAAGAGAGTATATACCTAAAATCGGAATGACTACTTACAAAATAGTGCCTCCCAAGTCCCTGGAAATAGTGAAGGACTGGGGGTCAGAAACAGCGGGGAATAAAGATGAACAAAAGGTGCACGCTGTGGGGCAGAAGCACATGCTTGAGAATATGACAGAAACAGCCATGCAAACAGAAGCCCTTGTTACTTCCAAAGGCTCACAGGAGCCACAGCCTGACCTTAAACCAAAGCCCAGCTTAGGAACAGAACGTCATTTGCACAGGACTGTGAGCTCCCCCGTTGGTGGGGAGGTGAACCCTCCAAAACCTCCCAGAATGACTATGGACACTGGCAGTATTCCTTTTGCACCAAATTTGGAAGATATAAACAATATTTTGGAGTCAAAATTCAGATCTAGAGCTTCAAATCCCCAGGCCAAACCAAGTTCATTTTTTCTGCAGATGCAGAAGAGAGCATCAGGCCACTATGTGACTTCTGCAGCTGCTAAGAGTGTCCACACTGCCCCCGGGCCTGCCCCCAAGGAACCGACAATCAAAGAGGTGCAGAGGGACCCAAGGCTCCCTCCAGAGCAGATTCTCTCTCCCTTAAGCGAAAGGACTCATTCTGCTCCGCTGCCCAATATTTCAAAAACTGATGATGATGTAATCACCCGGAAGCCTGCTGAGACCTCTCCTCCCCCTGTAGCTCCCAAGCCTGTGGTTCTTCCTGCTGAGACCTCTCCTCCTCCTACAGCTCCCAAGCCTGTGGCTCTTCCTGCTGAGACCTCTCCTCCTCCTGTAGCTCCCAAGCCTGTGGCTCTTCCTGCTGAGACCTCTCCTCCTCCTGTAGCTCCCAAGCCTGTGGCTCTTCCTGCTGAGACCTCTCCTCCCCCTGTAGCTCCCAAGCCTGTGGCTCTTCCTGCTGAGACCTCTCCTCCTCCTGTAGCTCCCAAGCCTGTGGCTCTTCCTGGTAGTCAGGGAGCATCACTAAACCTGAAGACCTTGAAAACATTTGGGGCCCCACGACCATACTCCATTTCTGGCCCCTCACCCTTTGCCCTTGCTGTGGTAAAAAGGTCACAGTCATTCAGTAAGGCACGTCCAGAATCATCCAGTGAGGGCCTCTCTGCCCAGCCTGCAGCTGACACAGAGGATGGAAAGGCATTCGCAATAAATAAGTCCGCAGTGGTTCCCCAACATGATGATGTTGATAAGGTAAGCCTTAACTTTTCCAGTATAAATAATCCGATTCCAGTACGACTTGGTTAAAGTAGGGGACAGCCCATTTTATACCAATACTTTCGTACATTTGTGTATTGTTTAATTCTGAATTAATATCTTTGGGAAAAGACTGGATATATTTAAGGATCTACATTCTTTATTCTGAGAATTACAATTCAATAAGATACAGTTATAAGGTCATTGTTATGTAATTGTATCATTAGCAAATATTTTACAATTTTTTATTCATACACATGTATAATTGCTGAGTGTAGGGCAGTGACTATTTTCCTGTGCTTTGCTATTTTTTAACTGTCTTGGATATTATGGTTTACTTTATTTTTCATTCACTTTTATAGCACTATGTAGTAGCCAGAAAATTTTAATTATTTGAAGCAAATGGTATCAAAGACTGAAGGGGCCCAGAGTGTCTCAGTTGTACATTTCCCATCACATGTATTCTACCTCAGCTTACCAGATGTTTCACATATAACTTACTTAAAATGAAAATGGCTTTAAAATGTAGCTTTCTTAAGTATCCATTTTGTTAGTTACCATTATATACGTGTAGATCAAAATACCATCCAACCATGGTAATTATAAAAACGTCTTATTGACTTGATTTGTCAACTAAGCATCTTGCTTTCTGGATTCACATAAAATAGTCGAAGGAGATGATGACATTCACAGTGTGATTTGTGGGAATCCACAGGTAGTCATTAAAAAACTACGTTGTGTACTCTGCTCTGGTAGTGTTTAAAGAATACTTTCATGTATGACAGCTCCAGGAGCATTTTATACAACTTTTTCAAATATTCCTAGACTAAGTGAAGACAGTGACCCTGATGCCAAGTAAACATTTCTCTATAATGTTGAGGCAATATTTATCTCAAAGAATATCTCCTCATACACTTGACATTCATGTTTACTAGTTTAACCTAGCATCAGGAAGTGATGTGTGATATAGAGATGAATTCTTGACTTAGGGGTGAAGCCTGCCTTTTCCCTGAAATGTATCACTGTTCCTAAATAATAGAAGCTTAACTTAGATGAAACAGTTTGAGTCACCACTTCAACCTTTTTTAGTTCATTTAAAAAGTAAAGATATGAATTTGACAATTAGTAAAAGACATTTTTAAGATTCCTTGATGTAACACTTCCTAGTTACATCAGTTACTAAATATTTGTTCTTAAGAGGTTTAATTAAATTTCTGATTATTTAGTTTGGAAGTTCTTAACATTTATTTTCAGTCTAATGGGGAAAAAATCCTAGTCAGCCCATACTTCTTGTTGCTTCTAGAAACAAAAACTCGGGCAGTTAAGGGTAGTAGAGGCATCAATATTCCTTTGTTCAATGGTATACTAGATTCTAAAGTATAAAGTAGTCAGTATTCAACTGCCTTGTACATTTGCCTGAATATGTTAGAACCATGAAAATAGGTTATTTTTCAGTTTGTGGGATTTTTTTTGTCATGAGTTTTGGCTCTGGTAGCTAGTTCTATGTGTTGGCAATATCAGTGTTCTTTGATTTACACACAGTAAAATTGCCACTTTATTTATTCATGAAGCAAAAAGAGGTAGCAATTTTTCTTCCACAGCTTCCTAAGCTGAGAAAGGAAGGTACATAGGTCATCTTCCATCTGGGCTCTACTGACCTAGATAACTGAGTGAAGGGTGGAGGTACAGGAAAAACTGTGTCATTAGCATGGCAAGTGGTGGTTTTTAGAGAGCAATTGATAGTATGTTTTGTCAAATAGGCCTTTCTTCTCTTGGAATTCATAAAAATATCTTGCATTTATTTCTCATAGCAAAATAAACCTCTACAGAATGAACAGAGTTCTCAGATGCTGAGTCCAGCTGATGGCCCACCATTCACCCTTATGAGACAGAGTTCTTTAACATTGCAAAGCTCTGACCCAGAGCAGGTCCGGCAGAGTTTGCTGACCGCAATCCGTTCTGGAGAGGCTGCTTCCAAGTTGAAGAGAGTAAGCTTTCCTCTGTCAGATGGGGGGCAGTGGGTTTGTTTTCAATCTTGTTAAACTAATACTTGAGCGAGGGGCAGGGGTGTTTCTTCTAACATTCAAATATGAACAGGAAAGACATGCCAGGAATTATTCTTTTATTCCAGGAGTCATTTTTGAGGTATAGACTGAAGGATTTCAGAGTCTTACACATTCATAAAAACACATCAGGTTTGTTTTTTTTTCCCACTGTGTGGGCCAGGTTCAAAATATGACTGTATTCATTGTTGTATAAGTAAAAAGCTAGCCTTGACTCTTATTTTAAAAACTTATGTTAGCACAGTAAGAAAGATTCTCTTGAAGCCCCCCCCCCCCGCCTTTTTTTTCCCCCAGAAAAGGTAGACTTTTATAAGTGGGAACGTTTATATTCGCAGTCATCTCTCAGTGGTCCAAGTAACTGTTGTGTGTACCGGGCTTTAGGGACAATTCCAAAAAGTAATTTCAGTTATAAAAAGTAGAAAGGAAGCTAGAGAATGTAGAAAGCTCATCCAGAGCCTTGTTCATAAGGATCCATCCCGTCCCCTTTGCTTAGCTGTAGGAGGGATAGCAATGAGACAGAGGTACGATTCCTCTAGACAGAATGTGAGTGTCACAGGCGAGTCTGGCCTCTCCACCTTCCTCCCCTGGGAGAGCATGGGCAAGTTGGCCAACCATTGCCACGGATGCTGCTCGGTTGTGCAGTGAGAAGCCCCACTGACTGACTGTGTATTCCATGTTGTGGCCTCCTTTGATAACCACATTAGAAGCTGTTTAAAGAAGGGCTAAGAGACTACTGGAGTGGAACTTTGAGTTCCAAGAAATTAAAGCTGCAAAGGGAGAGAAGTGCTGAAAAACAGAAGGGACCAGTGTCTTAGGTGTTCCAACCATACCAGCCTTTGCCATGAAGAGCTTTCAAGGCAGTTAGTCTGCGTGGGTGCGTGCGTGCGTGCATGCGTGCGTGCGTGAGTGAGTGCATGAGTGAGTGCGTGTGTTACTGCTGTTCCAGAAGACTTGGCACACCCTTCTGAGCAAGCACTGAAGCAAAACACATATTAAGTGGTTTCAAAAATGATAGAAACATGAAGGAATAATTCAGAGGACAGATCTGAACTTTGTAGATTTTATATATAAGTACCAGGAAAGTCCATATGGATTTAAATACTGAAATTATTATTTTATCAGTTCTCACAAATTTCTTTGTCAAGGGGAAAATATGCTAGTGTCAGTAAATAACCTAGTCTTATTAATGAAATATTTTCTGTTCTTTATCCAGGAAGTTACATATGAGTTTCAAGCCAATTACCACCAATCTAAGATTCCTAAATTTAATAAATTTAAGGCACAGATATTTTACTAGACACAGAGGGCAGAAAGATGAATAAGTCAAGCCATTGCCTTCTATATAGCTTGGGCCTGAAAAGCAGTGTTGCATTGTGTCCACAGGAGAGGCCAGTGCCTGCACAGGAATTAAACACAATGCTTCAGGCGTGAGCACGTGCATATACTAACCAGTTCCTGTGTACTCATTGCACAATCCTGTGCATTGAACTGCAAATGTGTTTGAAGCCAGCAGCTGGATACTGGTGGATTCCTGGGCCTGATTTGGCATGGCTTTCACATAGTAAACTCTCACGGCTTACAGAAAGAGCTGGATCAGAACCAACAGACAGGGGGCCTAAATGATGCGCCTATAATTGCATCCTATTTAAAACTCATTACTTTAGATTCTATTGAGTATAAAACTTTATCTCATTGAGTAGGAGGTTATTAACAGCTTGCAGCCTGTAGAGTGCCAACTCCTAAGGCTTTTAATGAACATTTCATACATAATCTATTTTATTTCACTAAACGTAGTTAAAGGAGCTGGTCATGTTCACAATCTCTAAACCCAATGGCCAGCGTTTCAGCTCTTGTACATATTCTTAAAAATTGTTTTGTAGACCAAGACTTACATGTAACAGTGCTCCTGTCATATCTTTTGTGATGTTCCAAATAAATATAACTCTACCTCTAAAAATAAAAACAGTAATGTTTTCGAAGACTAGACCGTCTTACTGGAATGTCTTTTTAAATGTTCTTTGATAGTTTCATACATTGATACAATGTATGTTGATGACGTCCATCCGCCACTACCACCCTTTCACTCTTCCCCATCTTCCTCCCTCCCAACTTCATAGCCTCACTTAGAAAGCTTTTGCATTGCTCCTTGGAGACTTTCATATGAGGCATTTTGATTCTGTTCATTCCCTCGCCCCATTCTTCCCAGATCGACTTCTCATTCCTTACCCAATTCTGTGTCTTCTATTTAAAAAACAAACAACAAACAAACAAAAAAACCCACCAAGTCCAACTTGTGCTGCCCATGTACTCTTGGGTGCTGGGCTAACTCCAGAAGTGTGGTTAACCTAGCACAGACTCACACCCTTAAAGCTGGCTTTCCCTTTGCCAGTAGCTGTCAGTTGCCAATGGTTTCTCAGATAAAGGTGGGACCTCATGCAACTGATGTGATGTGTTCAGGAAACGGTTTTCTTGTAGCCATCCACTACTTCTGACTCTTTCAATCTTCCAGCTTTCTCTTCCCCATAGTTCCCTGAGCCTTGGGAGGAGGAGTTGTGATATAGATGTCCCATTTAGGGATGAACATTTTGTGGTCTTCTGTTCTATTAATCTTGACCAGTCATGAGTCTCTGTGTAAATTGCCATCTACTGCAAAAAGAAGCTTCTTGGATCCTCATGAGAAATGCGCTAATCTAGGAGTAGAAGGATAATCATCAGGAGTTGGTGTAATACTATGTCTGTTTAGCAGAATACTAGTGACAGGTTTTCTCCTAGGGTCTTTGACATGTCTAGCCAGAAGTTTGTGAGTTCCAATAACTGTTTCGGGTATGGGTTTCACCTTGTGGAGCAGGCCTGAAATCCAATCAAGTGGTTGGTTACACCACAACATCCATTCCACTATTTGACCAGTGGGCATACCTTGTAGCTCATATGAACTCAGCAATGGCTGTGACAGCATATACAATTTCTGCACAAGCTCAGGCCAGACAAAATCGGAATATGGAAAGGGTAGCTGGCTCCATGTTTACCTATGTCTTTGAACTCAAAGTGTTCAGTTTAGTTCCAGGTATGAACCTGGCCATGGCTCTGGTTCCTTTTGGAGCAGCTAACCTCCATTAGAATAGCTGTTTTGCATCAGGACATTGTGTTCATGTCTGTTGTGTGAATGTACTGTGATCTTTTCATGCTTCTCTGGGGCTTTTCCACACTTTACTCCCATGCACCGCACAGGTAGCCATGGAGACTAGTTTATCTTCATACAAAGCTTTAATTAGCCTAGCACAGTATTTTAAAATTGTGTTCAGTGTTCAGATTTATCTGTGAATCAGCAAATTGTTCATAGAGCATGAAGTTTCAATTATCCAATATTGTTGGTCAACTGTGACACAAGGCCTTTGGGTGCTTCGTGTTGTCCCTAAATTACTGAAAATCGGGTCACTACATTGTTACAAATAGATACAGCTTTTAAAAATAGAGTCTAGAGTAAATTTATGTTTTATATTTCATATCGTACATTGTCTCAGAATGTAAAATTTATCTTTGACCAGAAGTATGGAAGGAACAGAAAGTCTGTGGAAACCTTTTACAGACTCTACTAGCTTATGTTATTTAATTAGCTTGCTTTTGCTTTTTATTCTATTTTTTGGTTTGATTTTAAACAAAGGATCACAGGTTGACAGTTATTTCTAAATATGTTTTCTGTAAAAAAAAAAAAAAAAACTAGTGTTGTATTTCATAGCCACAGTTCAAATTTTGTGACTATTCATGAAAATTCTTTAAACATCAAGGGTAGATAACCAACAGGCATATCAATAAGGTCTTAAATGTTAGTTTTTACAAAGGAACTTTATTGTGGGTCTGGAGACATGTCTCAGAAGTTAGGAGTACTGTCTGTTCTTGCAGAGAACTCAGGTTCCATTCACAGTGCCCATGTGGCCACTCCCAACTGCTTGTAACTCCAGTTCCAGCATATCAGATGCTTTTCTCTGGCTTATGTGGACACTGAGAATGCACATAAAATAAAAATAAATAGTTTTTTAAAAAGTAATTCTACTGTAAGTTAATTATCGAAGTTCAAGTCAAATAATGTTTTGGTGTCTGGGTGTTTCTGAAAAGTTGCATCTCACCTAAGAAATATTCTTTAGCACTAGACTGTGACAGGAATCAAAAGAAGCTTTGATATGACGTGGGATCCAATAGATGGGATCTCTGATCCCAGAGTTCATATATTCATAGACAAGTATACTAATGATATCTATTAATATATTTTGAAATATCAAAGAAATATGTTTTTTCTCTTTTAAGGTAATCTCTCTTTGTTTATTTTTATTTTTTTGATACAGGGTCTGATCTATCTCTTGCAGCTCAGGCTAGTCTTGCATTCATAATCCCTCTGCCCCAACCTCTCAAAGTGCTATCAAATTGTAAATAATTGCATCTGCCATGTAACCTTCCAGAATATGTTGTTAGTGTATTAGCAAATCCGGTTTGTACAGTGGAATCTTCTGGACACAATTCATAAATTTGTATCTCTGAAGCTTCGGTAGATCTGCAGTATTTAAGATGATACAGTATTTGACTTTTTAAAATTAGCTTCCCAAATACTCGGTTGGTTTCTGCATGAGTTTTTTTCACACATGTTACATTTTAGTTGACTCTCCCCTGACTTCTCCTTTGTCTGCTTTGATCTCCCACCCTTGCGTTTCACCCCACTTTCTACCCTCTTTCATTTTGTTCTCGGTTTCCCCATCCCCCTCCCTTGAAGTATCACCCCCCCCCCCAGGCACATTGCCCCTTACTAGTCTCCTGGTCTTTATCCATATTTGTTCACCTGGTATCCTACTTAGGTTTCTTTGCTGTTTAAAGACCATGACCAAAAGCATCACGGGGAGGAAAGGGTTTATTTGTCTTAGGTTACAGCCCATCATCATCAGGGGAAGCCAAGGCAGGAATTCAGGGCGGGCACTGAAATGGTGGAGGAACATTGCTTATTGACTCTCTCCCCAAGGCTTGCTTAGCCTGTTTTCTTATATAACCCACGGCCCACTGCCCAGGGATGACGCCTTCCACAGTGGGCTAGGCCCTGCCGCATCAGTCATTAATTAAGAAAATGCCACCCAGACTTGCCTCTGGCCCAATCTAAGGGAAGCATTTTCTTCACTGAAGTTCCTTCTTCCTAAATGACACAGTTTGTGTCCAGATGTCAGAAAAGTAGCCAGTACACCTAGATATCCATAGTTAGCCGTTAGAAGCTAGGGGTACATGTGCGTGAGATCATATGCTGTATGTGTTTCTTTGGGCCTCTCTTTGCTTAGCATGGTATTTTCCAGTTCTAACCATTATTCTGCAAATTTCATAATTCTGATTTTTTTAAATTGCTGAATAAAATTCCTTTGTGTATTTATACCACATTTTCACTATCTCTTCATCTATTGATGAACTAGATCTAGGCAGATTCATTGCCTCACCATTGGGAAAAGGGTAGTGTAAACAGGGCAAGAGTCCCTGAAGTAGGATATGGAGTCATTTGAGAATATCTCCGGGTGAGCTATAGTATAGCTGGGTCATATGTTCTCTTTTTAGTTTTTTGTTTTATGTTTTTGTTTGTTTGTTTGGTTGGTTTTTTCTTTTCTTTTTTTTTTTGTGAAACCTGTATGTTGATTCCACACTGGCTTTACTAGTTTTTGTGGCCATTCTGTCTAGGATAAGAGAATCTCAAAGTAGTTTTAATTGCTCTGATGGCTAGGGTTTTTGAACATTTTAAAAACAGTTATAGGTTATTTGTATTTCTCCTTTTGAGAGCCGTCTGTTCAGACCATGTATTGGTTACCAGTTTTGTTTTTAAGTTTTGCAGTTCCTTCTGGTGAATATTGAGAGCCATCACTATAGTTTTGTGAATGCTTTGTGTCTTATAAAGAATCATGAATGGGGCTCAGTGATTGAGAGCTCTTGATGCTCTTCTGGAGGACCAGAGTACAGTGTCTAGCACCCATGCCTGGCAGCTCACAAAGGCTCATAACTCTACCTCCGGGGGGATCTGATAACTTCTTCTGGCCTCCATAAGCACACACATAGATCACATACACACCCACCCCGACACACACATACGTCTAAGTAAAAAATAAATAAAATAAACCTTTTTACAGAAGGATTTTGAGAACTCTAATTAATAGAAAATGAATTACAAAGATAATTCTCTCACATAGAGAGGCTTTAAGATTAAAGTTCTAGTGAAAAGTCATTACTTGTGGCTTTCTGATTGTACTGGAAAGTAGCCCGCATGACTACTAAGCAGTTGCCTTGGTGACAACTCTTCTTAGATGTAGTTTCAGGTGTGTAGTTCGATCTGCTCCCCTGCATCTTGAGTTGATTAAGCCCCCCCAGGAAACTCATTACCACAGAGAACCAAATCTTCATTTAATGAAAAGAAGCAACTGAAGTACAAACAAAACAGATTTGTTCTATACCTTAGTCTAGTGACGGGATCTGTAGTTATTTCTGTCAGTCCTTACTCGAAGATGGCAATTCTTGTCTATAAATTTTTGCTGCTCAAACTACAATGTAATATTATAACATTTTATTGTATTCTTGTGATATTTTGTTGTATTTTACACGTGACATATATATGTATATATGTTTGTATGTATTTACTATTCATGATCCATATTTTTTTCTTTACATTCTTCTAAGTCTTTCTAAAAACAACTAAGAATTCCAAGGCATTTGGAAAACTTCAGTTTTTTGGGAGTGTGTGTGTGTGTGTGTGTGTGTGTGTGTGTGTGTGTGTGTGTGTATCTAACTCTGCATCAAATACTGACCTGGAACTCTCCTGCCTCAGTGTCCCAAGTGCTTGGATGGCAGGTATACACCATGCTGCTCGACTGTCTTAAATATTTTTTTTTCCTCTAGTGCTTTGTAAATGGAACACTCAACCACTGGGTTTTGAAGGTTGAGTGTTTATTGATTGAAACTTCCTGTAAAGCCCTTCCCTCATTCTGTTCTAGGCATGATAGTCACAGGCTTGACAGTTGGCTGTAACCCTTTATCATGAAAGAATTCTTAAAGACCCAGTTTTGGTGGTTGATGCTTTTGTTTTATATATATATATGGAGTAGGTAAGAGGAGGATTTCAAACTACTTTCTGATATTAGTACAAAATTGTTAAATTTTGCAAAAATTCACTTTAGTTTTCCCATTTTTCTCAAAGCCCTTTTGGGAAGGCAGGATTCATCTAGCTAAAACTGCGCTGTGACAGCTTGGCCTGCAGTCTGTTTGTGCTCTTGTCTTTTATGTTGGCTTAGTAATAAAGACTAAGATATGTTGATGGGTTATTTAACTTGTTTGTTGTGGAAATAACAAGTCTCTCGTTTTCCATTTCATGATAGAATGAACATTTATTCTTAATTATTTGTAAATCATTGAGTGATAAATGCTGAATGCTAACATTTTCAGTTAAGCAGAAGTTATAATGTGATAGTTGTTAAAAATTAGACAGCTGTCCCATTTTCTAAAAACTGATGGGAACAAAATGTGTTTCTTCCTCTTAGGTTACTGTTCCATCAAATACAATCTCTGTGAATGGGAAGTCAGGACTCAGCTATGCCATGTCCTCTGATACCCAGGACAGTCACTAACATCACCCTGCCGTGACACACTTCACTGACCAGCTTCCTGCCTGCAAGGAATATTGGCAACTATATATTCAGATGTACATTAATATATAACTCTGTTCAAGAATAAGCATTTGTGTTATGGATCTAATGCCAAAAGAAAAATGACTAGAATTTATAATTTATAATAGTGTTTGGTCTTTTTGTCATAACTAAATATTGCTGCTTTAGAAACTTTAAACAAGGTATAAATGCCTTGTTTTTTTTTTCCCCACAGTGAATAATCACAGCTTATTGATTTTTTTCTTTTATTTATGGACATACTGTGTACCATAAAACAAAGGTATAAATTGAGATTTATGAATATATTGTATGACAGAGAAGCAGGCAAGCACATACTAACATTTACTGCCTCCGCATTAGGCTGTAATTAGAAACATAAATTATAATAAAGTCTTTTTGCTGAAATATACGGAAAACTAGTAAATCAAATAAATAATGTTCATTTATTTTTATTGAAGAATCACTTATTGTGAGACTTATTTTGTGCATTCTTTTAATTACAAATGAGTGCCAGATCAATAGAAAATAATAATAGTATTTTTTAAATATATAACACTTTAACCTTTGGTAGTTAAATTGCACAAGGAGACTTTAAGATGTTTTCTGTATATAATTATGTTGTTACACAGATATTACATATTTTCTAATGCCAGAAGTCTTAAAATATTCCTGTGAAAATGTTGATATATTATGACAGTTATTTCACATTTGGTATGTAGGGAGAATAGGGGCTAGTTTGTGTCCGTATTCAAAACTTTAAAGACTAGTTCGAAGTTTCCAAAATCCTGATTTAATTAAAATAAAATGCTAAATTAGTCATTTATGTAGCTCAGACTCTAATTGTCTAAATAATAATATATATTTTCCTGAAAGCCAAACTGGTTCAGGGAAACAGTGATTGATGTGTTGGCTTACAGTGATCCTAGGGTCTAGAGCACGTTGGTGTCCTGGATTTCTTTATGAATTTAATTGCTCATTTATTCCAGAAAGTGTTGAAACAGCCTGTCGCTGTTTTGACTCTTACTAAAGCTACTGGAATATCTGCCATTTTGACAAACATGAATTCTTTTTCCATTTAATAAAAGCAAGTTATATATTTGAAGTCTGCTGTTTCCAGTGTGGTTTGTATTAACTGGCATATTTGAATAACATACCTGAAGAGAATGCATTTTTAAAAATTTTTATGTGTATGGGTGTTTTGCCTGCCTGTCTGCCTGTGCACCCTGTGTGTGCAGTGCCTGTGGAGGCAAAAAAAAAAAAAAGGCATCATGTCCGCTGGAACTGGTGTTACAGACAGTAGTGAGCGGCCAGATGGGTGCTGGGAATTGAATCCCTGTCATCTGAAGAGCAGCCAGTGCTCTCAACCGCTGAGCCATCTCCCCAGCCCTGATGAGCATGTTTCTGTCCACCATTAGCATGCACATCATAGTACTTCCTTCCAGTTACCAGGCTTCTCGGGGAAAAGTTAAGCCCTGATATTCTGACGCCAACACATAAAGTACTTAGCCTGGTTCCTCCTGCTGCTGCTGTTCCCTTGTGTCAAGCTTGGAATGAGAACCGTCTGCACAGATAGTCAGGTTCTATCATTTTAAACCAGTAGAAGAAAGGAGCAGGCTTTTGAAAATTAGTGTTTGTACAATTGTCTGCTTGAGTAAAGCATGGTCTCTACTTCAAGCTGTATCATCAATGGGTTTGTGTCAGACTGAAAGCTTTTAAAGTAACATTTAAAAACTTAGAACGTAATTTGTGCTTTCAGACTGTAGCATGTGAAAACTAGTTTAAAATACATGGTGCTGTCATAAAAGATATAATGAATCTCAAACCTTTAGGATGTGAAATGTATGTAAGTACCATGAAGGCAAATAAGGCACATTTAATAACTTGTTTAAGATATGTAAAGGTGTTAATTTGTTAACAGGATGAGGAAATCCTAAAGCCTAGAAAACATGGAAAATACTTTTTCATTGCTAATCGGAGACGTAGTAGACAGTAAGTAGGAAATACATAGGTTACCATATCAGCAAAACTGCAAGGTCCAAAGTAGTCAGCATCAAAAACAAGAAACAGCAATGGGGAGATGTGTGGCTGTTGCTAGGAAGTGTTCCACAAATCAGAGGTCCCTTGCCTATATCCTCAAATTATTCAACATGTAAAGGAGACCTTAGCAAGATGTGACAGCCTTGAATACATCTTTATCTATGTTCCACACTGGGGTATATTCATGATACAATTCTCATTCATATACAATACTCAGTCAAGCTAGAGTCCTGGGTTAGCACAAATGCAGCAAAAAACCATGTGAAAAAAGAAAGTCGTAGAACAAAATGGGTGTAGGTGGACTAGCTCAGTTGGTAGAGCATGAGACTCAATCTCAGGGTCATGGGTTTGTACCCCACATTGGGTGCCAGATAATGCAGGAAACCCATGGATTACTGTAGCACAAATCTTAAAAGGTTTTACTAATAAAAACAAGCCCAGAGCCAAGTATTGGGATGAATGCTGAAAGATCAGAGAAACAGAACCAGCCACAGCTAACCTCGCCTCACCAATTCCTCAGCTGATCTCGTTTCCTCAAACTGGAAGCCTCTTGAGTCCTCATCCGAATGGATCTCAGCTGAACTGCTGCTCAAAAGCCTCAAAGCTTAACAGATTGTAGTTCCTGGTTCTCACACCTTATATACCTTTCTCCTTCCTGCCATCACTTCCTGGGATTAAAGTCGTGTGTCACCATGCCTGGCAGTTTCCAATGTGGCTTTGAACTCACAGAGTTCTGGATGGATCTCTGCCTCCAGAATGCTAGGATTAAAGGTGTGTGTGCCACCATTTTCTGGCCTCAATGTGTATCTAGCGGCTGTTCTGTTCTCTGACCCCAGGTAAGTTTATTAAGGTGCACAATATATTGGGGAACACAATATCACCACAGACTACTGAGAAAGGGACTGTTTGTTAGTGGATTGTATGGTGAAACAACTGACTGATACAGGATAGGGCAAATTCAGTCACAGAGTCTCTGGAAGGCTGAGAACTGGTCTCACGATGCTTCACACCACCTGACTCGGTCTTCACCACCAAAGAGTGCAAGAGTATGTGTTCCTCAGATCTTAAGCTAGCCAAGAGGCCACACCCTAGGGGCTGGTACTCCAAGGCCACAGGTGGAACAAATAACCACTACAGATTTGTTTTATGATATCAGTTATAGAAAGTATAAAATATGATAAATGATTCTCTGCAGTATGGTTGAGCATGTAGAAAAAAAATAAAATCTCCTTCCAAGCTTGCTGGTGGTTGGTCACTTGATAGGAACCAGATGAGGAAAGCAAGTGAGAATCATGGGAGACATCAATCGTGTTGCTGTGTTTTATTGTAGAAACTGTTGGTTGAAAACAAAGACGTCCTACACCCCAGGTTCTAATCTACAGACGTAGTTTTAATATTGTATAGGTTACATGGAATGGAGGGAGATGTGTCTGTCTACGAGTCATTAATTAGGAAATTTTGAAAAGTCTTGCCCACACTGCTTTAGACTTTTGTCACCACCTCCTTAACTGAGACGTCTAAGACGAGTTGTTTTTCCCCTCATTTCCTTGAGCTAACAAAACTACAAGACAGGAATGACCCAGAATCAATTTTAGATTATCATGTTGAATGTTGAATAGCTATATAGTGTTGACTAGCTAGGCATTTCACCTTGATGGGTTCTTTACAACATGTTAAAATTATAACTTGGATATGATACGAGATTTTTATTCTTAGTGTCTTAGCTCCCTCGCTGGGGGAACCGCTGTTAATGTTTTGTTGAATCCATCTGATGGAACTCTAAGGTCTTGAGTATGTGTTTATTGAACAGAGTCACACACTAATATTCCTAAGCAACTTGGCTTTGGTATACCAATATTCTGGAAGAGAAAGTTTTTATACCTATAAGATCTGTCACATTTGTTAGCCATCTTCCTATTTCTTGCTATGGTATACCAAACTGCCTGGAGTCAAGGTATTTGGGTTCAAGTCTCAGGTCTGTCTACCTTTTTAACATCATAGCATCTGGGGGTGGGGAAATTAACTCCCTTTTGAGAGGAGAGAGATGGCTCAGCAGTTAAGAGCACTGACTGATGTTCCAGATACACCTGTCTCATAGAGATGATTTTAAGGATTGGATGAATTTTAAAGATGTTTGACACACAGTATTTTCTTCCAAATGCGCTTGTTTTTCACACTTAGTGAGCAAGAATTACACTTCTTTGTTCTTTGGGGGAATGGCCCTCCCTCACATTTCACCTACATGTCCTACCAGGTCTGGCCTTGGCAACAGAATCCACTCTGCAACTTGATCTAAGTCCTTGCAATGAGCTCAGTTGCCTTTCGTAGACCAGAGCTGATGCTGAAAACCATGGATCAGTTGGTACCTGTGCCTAATGACAGTGCTTTTCTTACTACCAGGGAAGAAACTAACTACCAAAGAGCTAAAACTCACACCCATAACTTTTAACTGTTCTGTTTTCTAGAGTAAAGGGGCTTTGCAGCTGAAAGTCACAGTGAAGATCCTTGCCTGAAGTGTCTTTGAAATTGTTTGAAATACTCATTTATTTGATACTTTAAACTTTGCATAGGATTTTTATGTTACTTGGTTTACAGGGCATCAAAAGTTTGTAAGATTGCGGGGTTAGAAATGACACTCAGCCAGATGTACCTCAGGAGTTTTCTCTTTCCCGTGATGAAACTTCACAGATGGTAGTGAGGTCAATGGTGCTGCCTTCCACGCTCTCTGGAATTGTAGGCCCACTTACGGACCTTTTAGCCTTTTATTTTTTATCCATTTTATCTGTTTCTTGCAAATTTCCAGTCCTAATATTCTGGCTTATCCTGTGGACAGATATACTTTACTTATCACAAGACAAATATGCCACCATATATTTTCTCAAAGAACTTTTCTGACAGGTGTTTGGAGAAAAATTATAGAAAATTCTGATAATTTGCATAGAATTCTTTGTTTTGACACATTATGGACTTTAAAAATCCATTTGAAAGTTGGAAAAATTTGTTTTTCTTGGCAGAAAAAATAATGCTACATTTCAAAAAAATTATAATTTCAAAACAACACTCATTTATAATTTTTTTTATCTTCCATTGTGGTAGGCCACATTATTTCTCTGCCATTCATGCACGCAGTTGCCCTGTGACTTGGCAGACATTCTCTGTACAGAGGCCAGGCCCAGTATCCTGCCTGTAGAAGCATCTGGTTTTATGCCTAATGCAAGACAGAGGTGACATTGTACTGGTTCTGAGAGAGACATCTCGAAGATTGGTGTGTTTGGGCCACTGGACCTATGCTGGAGATACTGCTCTGAGAAATCTGTGAGTGGTCCTGAGGGAAGGATGAAGGGCAGGGAGAAAGCAGAAGCAACTGCTAAGATCTGACTGTCTGGCAAGAGCCAGCCCAGCCCAAATCACAGAGCCTCACCCAGGACTAGACTGAGCTGTGCTGTTAGAGCTGTGGTATGGTAGTAGGTGAAATGCACCATTTTAGACACATGACGGAATGACTTTAACCGTGTTCATAGGTTTATTCAATCTGTTCTCCCTTCTTCAACGGCATCTTCTCCAGTGTCTTCAAAGGATCTTCGGATTTCTAGTTGACAGATAAAATACAAGATGTCCAGGTGAATTTACATGTCTGATAAATACTCTTCAATGTGATTAGTTCTGTGCCGTATTGGGGGCAAATTTTAATAATTATTATCAGAAGTTCCATTTTAACTGACCATCATGTATTTCACTTTGCCAAGCTTGTCAATATTATTATTTCTTTGAAAATCTGTGAAGAGAGAGAAGATGGAAGAGTTATGGGTCACGAAAGAAAGCAGAGGAGACAGCAAGTCTAAGCCCAGCTGAAGTGAGCCACGAGCTTGCATTACAGAATAAAAGAGTTCAGCCTTTGAGCTACTGGCTAGCTGGCCATCAGAGGAATCTGCACATCATGAATAGGGAAATGTTCATTGATGAAGTCACAGTGAAGAAATGACTTGAGTGACTCTGTTGGGAGATTGTAGATATCTACAAGGCAACTGCAAATCATAAATTCTGCTGATGCCCCCACTAACCTCA